CAAATCTAGAATTTGAAGCTTTACTGTACTTTACGTTTAAGGAGCCGTCCATAAATGACGTCACGCACCTAAGGGGGGGGGAGGCAGGGTCAGACATTTGTGACGATGTGTGACGAGGGGGGGAGGGGAGGGTTTCAGAAATATGACGTCACACCAAAATGGGGAACTTTTCATTAATATTAATTAAATGGAATTGTTATAACAACACTAATTTTGATTAATTGTCATTATTAACTATTTGAGTATTTAAATTTACTAAGGTCACCTTTAATTTATTCCGTGAAGGAGCATTTTGCTTCTGAATAGGGAGAATGCAGAAGCATAATTTTTGTAAAATGTTTGAAAGGTTGTTATTGAACATTTTTATTTTAATGATTCTACCAGGCCTTTTCATTCTGTGAAATTAATATGTGATTGTTATAATAGTACTCTCCATTTTGCTTCGTTCTGCTACAAAGTTAAAAATATTTTTGTTATAATTATAATTACTTTTAATATTTTATAATTATAAGATAATTCAATATAATATTCTAAACATGTGCAGTTTTAGTTAGACGTTGAATATTTTCAAGTTAATTTTATTCTAAATTTCAGCTTTCCAACGCCTACTTTTTAATGTGTTTTCTCCTACAACATCAGAGTGCAGCGCCACATTAAATACGCACTACAATGACAATAGTTTAAAGCGATTTGAAGCATGTTTTATTTTCAAAATGGAAAAATAGTTTGGGGGGGGGGGCAAAGCTTTGTGACGTCATATTTGAGGGGGGTCTGACTTTTTGTGACGCCGTGTGACGAGGGGGTGAGGGGGGGTCAAAAATCAGCCAAAATCGCGTGACGTCATTAATGGACGACCCCTAATTGGACTCTTTGTAAAGTATAATATAAAAGCACAGAGACCTCGTTACGCCTCTGCATAGGTGGCACGCGCCTTCTAAGTCAGGGGTTATGGTTTTATTCATTCCTCGTTACATTCATTCACTTACTGTTCATTCATACACCATACGATTCATTCATCCAGCGGGCACGTGGGGCTGCAGCCAATCAGAACACGCGTTGGTGGGCGAGCGGTGGGTGGGAGGGCGTGAGCCTGGCCACTGAGGGTGGGGGGCACGCGGGTTAGGGTGGGGGCACGCGGGTTAGGGGTGGGGGCACGCGGGTTAGGGGTGGGGGCATGTGGGCTGGGGGTGGGGGGGTACGCAGATTGGGGGTGGGGGGGGCACGCGGATTGGGGGTGGGGGGGCACGCGGGTTGGGGGTGGGGGCATGCGGGTTGGGGGTGGGGGGGCACGCAGATTGGGGGTGGGGGGGGGCACGCGGATTGGGGGTGGGGGGGCACGCGGGTTGGGGGTGGGGGCATGCGGGTTGAGGGTGGGGGGGCACGCAGATTGGGGGTGGGGGGGGCACGCGGATTGGGGGTGGGGGGGCACGCGGGTTGGGGGTGGGGGCATGCGGGTTGGGGGTGGGGGGGCACGCGGATTGGGGGTGGGGGGCACGAGGGCTGGGGGTGGGGGCACGCGCATTGGGGGTGGGGGCACGCGGGTTGGGGGTGGGGGGGCACGCGGATTGGGGGTGGGGGGCACCAGTGCTGGGGGTGGGGGCACGCGCATTGGGGGTGGGGGCACGCGGGGGTCCGGAGGGGCGAGGGGGAGGGGGTCGTCAGGGTGGGGGAGCTCTTTGGGGGAGGCCCTTTGTCGTACTTAGCGATACATTTGTAGGGGCTTGTGGTCTTTATTTTGGTGATCGGAATCAGAATCTTCATTTATACTGGAAGGAATCCGATAAGCTATAAAGCTCACGGTGATGGAGGGCGCCCATCCATCGGTTTATCAATGGACCCAGCTGGTGTGCAGTAGCCAGATGGACCGCTGTTGCTGCTGCTGCTGTTGTTGCATCGTAGCACTGAGAGATGGCAACGGCGTGGCCAAGGCCTTCATCCAGCAGTGGATTAGAACACGGCTGCTGATATCGTATAGCAAGCCACGTAAGAGTTGTAAAACAACGACAACAATCCACGCCTTTTTTTTTAAAACGTTGTACCGTCACCGTTTGGTTTTTATCTCAGATCTTTTTTGTTGAGTTGTCCGTCTTCATTGGAGCTGAAGGCCGGTGCAGGGTCACGGAGTTGGGAGTAAGGTGAATGAACAGCAGCACCGAGGGCGTCCACCACGATCAGAAACTCGGTGGCGCCCTGGCAAAGCCACGCACACGGACGCTGAAGATTGGATGTGTGTTCTTCAGACGTGCTTAAAATCTCTCATTAATATCACGGGGAGAAGTGGCACGTGTTGTTAGATTGAGCCGAATGAAGTCGTACAACAGAGATCGTTCAATTTCGATTTAAAGCTTTCGTGACTGCAGGGATTCATCTTCTTGGTTCTTTCGGTAAAGTCACGTAGAAGGGAAGTAATAAAATAATAAAAATAAAACAATAAAATCATTCTCACGACGTTTCGGCCACAACGCAAGCAGCCGTCCTCAGGTGAAAACCAGGTCCGTCGAGGCGACAGAGTCTGAATGAAACAGCACACGAGCTTGGAGCATATATATAAGCTGGGCGCCTTGACAAAGGGATTTTACATATCAAGAGGAATTTAGCATATTTATATATGCTCCAAGCTCGTGTGCTGTTTCATTCAGACTCTGTCGCCTCGACGGACCTGGTTTTCACCTGAGGACGGCTGCTTGCGTTGTGGCCGAAACGTCGTGAGAATTATTTTGTTGTGTTTTATTTTTATTATTTTATTACTTCCCTTCTACGTGACTTTACCGAAAGAACCAAGAAGAAGAGATCGTCCAGTTGGAAAGTTAAAATGTACATGATTATATTCCGTGTTTTACTATCGACACGCTCTAAACCGATATAACTCATGCAGCTGTCGATTACATTCTCATTTTGTATGCCTAGCCTGTGTGCGTTATTCAATTAATTCGCGGGCCCGTAATCTTTTATCATTCCCAAAACATTGATTATGTTTAATTACATTATTTCCAACGCACCACATTGGACGACGTGTCCTAATCGAATGCAACACAAGGAGGCGGTGGAGGAGAGACGCAAGTTGATTGTAATGAAAGTAACCCTTGGTTACCACGGGTAGTCTGGCATTTATTCAGTGCAAAGTTGTAGGACGTTATTGCTGGTGACTCAAATGCTCGACAATCAAATCCCTTAACCTTTTGAATTGGACATCTACTGGACAACTGATCCTTTATATGGCGGTACCCCGTGGTAACCAAATAATACAAAATGCCCGAGGCAATTAAATATTTTACTTCTGGGACACGATTTTTTCTAGGGATGTACTCAACTCCGCGACTGGGGTACCAATCAATCCTGAAATCGGTGCGACTCCGCGATGTCGAAACGCAGCGAGGACGATTGCACCGAACCCCTGAATGCTCGCGGCACGCACCGTAGTGGTGCATCGTGTACAGCTCGTCCAGATGAGTCGACTGCCCCGTCGTCGACCATCAGCAGACTAACAGTGACTGCATCACGGACATTATGCCAGAGTCGGGGTATTATGGTACCCCGGGATACTAAGGTTCATCTGTGAAAACGACTGGACATCTGTGAAACAGAGCTTCATAGCTCATCGGCTTCCTCCAGTATAAATCAATATTCGGAGCTCATAATTTCCTACATGTGATAAAGTGACTATCAACGCATGTTGAACTTCTTTCGCACCATACGTAGCCAACCGTGCTAATCGTAGGTGCGGGAATTGCTCTACTCCCCCTATGCCCGAGTGTTCTTCCAGATGAAATACAGTGAACTGCGAGGTGAGCTTGCGTGACCTCTATCCTGTACCACGTTGAAGGTGGTGGTGACTTGTTACCCCTCCCACTGCTGGCTCTCCCCAAGTGGTGTCTCTGATATAGCGATGTTCCCTGGCCCACCCCTAATAGCTGGGCAGAACGCCAAGTGTTGGTAAAGTTCTTGAAAGGGTAGTGCCGTTAAGTCGGTACAGCTACAGCGCAAATACGTCACTAGACTATTGGGCCTGTGCTGGGCCAATGCGCGGATAAGCGATACGCCAATTTCCATGGTTCTTATTGGCTGGACGGATCCGTAAACACGATCCAAACGCAGCGATACTACTTTTGCTACGTTTCAGAAATTGACGTAACATTGCCCTTAGCACGAGTGTGGACACACGGACACTCGAGCGAAAACATTAATCTGGCACCGCCCCACCCTTGCTGAGTGATTATACTCGTGGGGGGGGGGGGGGGGGCAGATTCTAAAAAACGCATCACCTTGGCCATTTGCTTCAATGTCATCATTGGGCAGATCGGCCCAAAAAATCTGATGAAAATTACAAATTTGCCAAGATATATTTTGAACCAAAGAGTATGGATTCCTGCGGTCACGAAAGCCGCAAATCAAGATCATTATTTCCAATCCAACACTTTCGTATTCTCGAGAGAGAAAACCCCATCAAGAGAGGAAAGTGGCGGCGAATGAACGCTGCCACCAAACTTGTGACAACGTGCTAATGAAATGTAGTTGTTCTGGATGCCAGAAAATGTGCCACCATGTAGACATAGCTTGTGGCATATAGGGCACAGGTCAGGCCCCTAAAGATAAATCTGTACAAGGACACTTGCATCGTTGGGAATGGGGGGGGAGGGAGGCATCCATTTTTTTTAGCTCTACCTTGTACAATTTGTCCTAGCATCCTTTGAGTTACTACGAGGCAGGGGGGTGGGTGAGGGGGAGGGGGGGCATTGGTGTACCATTGTGCGTGTGCACGCGTCTTTTGTAACAAAGAAAAAATAGGTGGCAGTTTGCTGTCCGTTAGCTTGGCCGTCATCAGAGTTCACAATGCCCCTGGCCCACTCCCCCCAACTCACCCATCCCCACCACCGAGCCAGGTCGTTGGTGGAGAGGCGAGCGTTGCCGTGCCCTTGCTGAACTGCCGAATGTATTTATACACCGCAGTGTGTGGGCACACTCGTGAGCGAGCGCGTCACTAGCCACCACCCCTTGACCCCTTCTGCAAGAAGCTTTATGAGAGCTCGCCCGAGCGTCGCCGGCGTCACTGGGCAGGCACATCCACATCCATCTGATCTCCAGCAGCTGCTCACATCCCAGATTGGCCAGCTTTTGTACAAATTCATATTTATGCGTTAAGAGCCTCGACCGCAAGCAACCATGAGCGACGCTGTCGTTGGATTCCTTAAGGACTTTCTGGCGGGAGGCATTGCCGCTGCTATCTCCAAAACGGCCGTGGCACCCATCGAGAGGGTCAAGTTGCTTCTGCAGGTAAATCGCCCGACTGTGGGCGAACGGTGTGCACGCGTCGAGCCGAAAGGATGGGTTTCGTGTGAAACGAGGAGATTGCGTTGGTTGGAGAGCGGGGTTGTGGCAGGGTGTAAATTGTAGGCTATTTAGTTTTGTTAATACGTGTCATGTCAGTGACTGGTAAATAATGTCAGTTCATCTTCTTGGTTCTTTCTTCTTGGTTCTTTCTTTCTTGGGGGCGGGGGGGGGGGAAACTGGAATAAAATGTTATATTCTATATAAGGAGTAATTCATTGTTCTGAATCACCTTGTTAAATGGCATCGCATCGTCACCTTGCAAAGTTTAAGCAGTGCCTAGCATTTTGTGCACAACGCCACAGAGAGGACAGGTTAAGATGTTGTGTTAAGATGTTGTGTGCATGGTTACACGATGCACGAATCTGTTTTCCGCGACGTCTCCAGTGTTTACGTTCAGTCGAGCCAGTCAAGGTCAACATGGAGGGCCCAAAGGATCCTGAAGACAAGCAAAGCCAGAGTCACATTGGGCAAGGTCAACGATACACAGATTACCACTCAGTGTCCCTGGCAACCGTGGGTGCCCAGTGCTCCTAAGACTTCTAAGCACTCTGTGTGAAAGTTAGCCATGATGTATGTCAAGCTTGGAAAAGTCTTGACATTTCTACACCGAGTCTGGGAAGGGCCATGCTCAAATTCTATTAACCCAATGGTACCGCGTCGAGGCGTTGAAGGTCAACACGACATTCTTATGTCCTGAAGGAAGCGTTCATCTGAAGGGACTAGGAGTAATATTAAGAGCCGAGGAGTCGGGCGAGTGCCACCCTTGCGTGCACTATTGCCCTACTGTGATGAGCTGCATTGAGACTATACTGGCAACGGACTCTGTGTCAAGAGGCAAGGTCATTTGGAAGCATGGAAATGTTAGACTCGAAGCTACAGTGAGTGGCAGTGATCTCGCAGAGGTGAAGGATCAGATGAATCCGTGAGTAAATAATTTTTTATATGTCAAATATTTTTTGGTGGAAACGTGCCGTGTACATCACCAACAAATGGGGCGAAACCTTCTGGGCGATGTGCGTTGGCCATGTCGTCAATGTGTGAATGTGGCCCATTGTGTTCGTCAAATTGTGTGTGTGTGACCCTAAATAATAACTGGGGTGTTTTTGCGAGTTGTACAGGACTGGGCAGTTCATTTGGTTTTACATTTGGATATCTCTCAGGAATTTCATAGGCGTCAGCGTAGTACTGTTACACACATCAAAGAGCATCACTAATTACATGGAATTATACGTACATTGTAATCCCATTTAAAAAAAGCACTTGAAGTGACAATCTGAGATGTTACAGTAAGACGAATACACATTCATGTGCCCTTGGAAATCAGTCCGACCAAGAGGCACAGGGTTAAAAATAAGAGGGGCAAAGTATGTGCTTGCAGAAATAATACGATGCACTGTGGGAGGTTTGCAGTTATTTTTGGGAGTCCACCAAGATCGCTGCTGAATCTTTACATATACACAGAGACGGCATTTAGTTCAAGGTCAAATGCGTTGTTTTTGTCCCTCTCGAAATAATTGGTTGATAAGCTATCGGAATAAAATTGAGGATACTTGTTTTGGTTGATAAATGTCAAGCACTTTGGGCGGTTACTCTCTAGCGGTTTCAGTAAAGTAGCTAATGTGTGAGTGATCAGTGTGATACCGTAATAACAACATCAAATAAAGTTATGTTTCAAGGTCAGTTTGCACGATATTCAATTAATACGGTATAACCAATATGGGCAAAGAATTTGGAAGCTCATACGCTATGCTCACATGTATGATCACATTTTGGCTTTTACATGATTTCAAAGTCGCTCAGATATATTGGTAGAAATTAAACCTTGAAACAAAAAAACATAAGTTTGTCGACCTTTGAATATACAGAAGAGGCGCGGCCTACTTTAGCATGACCTTATCCAGAGAAGGCCTAGGCTTTGGCCAAGGTCATTTGACCCCGGCAGCAAGAACTCACTCCATGCACACAACAACGTAATACTAGTTAATTGTATGACTATTAAAGTTATAGTATTATTAATGGAATGCATACACTTGGAAGGTGAATACAATTCGCTTTTACTTTCCTTTTTTCCTAATTCTATCGTAATTGTAGCTATCGATGTGATAAGACGACAGATGCATAGAGAACTGCCCACGGAAGCAGATGTCACTTAACTTCCTGAGTCCATCTTCTTGGTTCTTTCGGTAAAGTCACGTAGAAGGGAAGTAATAAAATAATACAAATAAAACATAATAAAATAATTCTCACGACGTTTTGGCCACAACGCAAGCAGCCGTCTTCAGGTGGAGAACAGGTCTGTCGAGAAGGCAGAGTCTGAAATTTGCCTGAGCTCACTTAATGTGATTTTCTTTCATTTCTATCCACACATTATGGGACGCACTTTCTCACGTGTCCCGGTGTGAGTGCTTGACAGTAAAATCACCATTCCTACTTCACACAGAGCTGTAATTCAGACAAACTTAGTCGAACACTAAATTAATGTGATGGGTTTTTTTTTTGTGCGGGCATTTGACACATGTGATTGAATATGAGAAAGGGTGGACAAAATTGACTGCCCAGATAGAAAATCTATGATCTCAGTGCTGCTGGCTCCATACTCTGACCTCCGAGCCACACAACTACCTCACACATACAATGATCGTATCCATGTTGATATGGATAGTCATTGCATGTGTTTGTATGTCTTATCTATGTATGTATGTTGAATTTATGTCAGACCATATGTAGCCAACCATGCTAATCGGCGGTGCGGGGGAATGACAACAAACTAAACACAAAAAGAAAAGAGTTTTCAAATCTAGATTCAAAAGTACATAGCTCCAGTGGCTTCCGAATATCGGAAGAGCGTTCCAGACGGCCGCAGCATCTGAAAGCACACAATGCAGTGACCGTCTTTGTTCGATGACCAGCCAAATGCCGCTGCGATGGATGACCGGAGTTCGTGTGATGGTTTATGCTCCTGGACGAGGTCAGCAAGGTATTGTGGTTCATTTGTGGCAAATATAATAATAGGGTTTTGTTGTTGTTGTGGCAAGTACTTTGCATGCTATGAGTGCGACCTCACAATGTATTCGTTCGGCAACCGGAAGCCAATGCAGCTCAGCGAGCACTGGATGGACATGGTCAGATCTTGTAGTACTCGTCACGACACGTGCCAAAGAGTTGTGTACATGTTTTTGCCAGACGTCCCATGGAGTAGCGAGTTGCAATAATCTAGTTTATGCTGAATGTCCTGGGTCTATACAGATTCCTACAACAAAGGACATAATGAACAATGCAGGTAAATTGAACATGGCTATGAAATGGGCTCGTTCAGGTTTAGCGCCAGCGTGCTGGGTAAGGACATTTAAAAAACTAACGCAGCTCAAATGATGCTTGTGTTTAATTTCGCCGATATTAAGTTCTGTATCCAATGCTGTAATCCAGTTATCGTGGAATTGGCCATACATAGTTTATATAATGCTACTGCAGTGCACGTGTCATGCATATTATTGTAAGCTTGAAGTCTGAAATAAATATATTGGCAAATTGAGGTGTTTTAATTCAATTTTATCAAGTGCCACGTGGTATCTTGGCTTCTGTGCAGACTGCAGACGAGCGTGTATAAATACTCTGAATATTAACAGGAGGAATGCTGGCCTTCAAATTGAAGTTGCATAATGAGTACTCACATTAGCCCAGCATGCTAATTGGGTGGAAAGTCTTGAGTCCTCATGGGAAGATGTACCTGTCACCTGCAGCCTGGAAATGGCAGACGTTTATGCAAATCATTGGAAAGGTTTTTAGCTCACGATTTTAATAAGAAACTTTACAATACATGCCTTTATTTTTAAGTTTCATCAAGATGTCGAAATTAGGATGAGGTGCACAATACATCAGTGTTAAATGTAATCTATTAGACATTATCCATTGCGCGTGATTGGCATTGCTGTAAATGCATTCCAATAGTTTTCGCTGTCTATTCCTACTGCTTTGATAAAGAAAACAACCATGGAAATCGCTGTCAAATTCGTACGTCACAAGTTTACACTGAGCAGAAGGCTTAAACGGTGGAATTTTGGCCATTGGCTGCATTGCAACACATGGCCAAAATTAAATGCATTGCAAAGAACGGTATATTAACATGAACAAGACAAGCCCAGTTGGATTTCATCCGAAACAAACATGACGTTAGAGGAAATAGGTTTAAAGAGTTCCCTGCTTTGGCACCGGCTAAGAAGGGGAAATAAATTCAATTCAAGGCAGTCTTCAACTTCAACCAGATAGCTGTTGCAAGATAAACATGAAACTCCATGAGCACTTTCAAAACGCCAATTTATAGCATCAATAACTTGTTAACCATTCCCTTGGGCACTACAAAATCTGAATCTTTAGAATATGTATTTAGACCGGAGGAATCCGATGAGCTATGAAGCTCTTTTTCACAGATGTCAAGTAGTGTTGGCCCTTGTGTTTAATCCAATAAAACTGTGAATATGGATCTTCTACGCAGATGTACGATATGTACTGCACATGATATTACCATTCGGCTCTTTAACTAGTTTTACGGTACAGTATTTACTTTCAGTGGCTTTAACATTAACAAATCGTGCTCCTGTAAAGCGCGTGTAGCTTTCCATGAATACAGCTGCAGACTCGTGTGTGGTGGTTGCACAATTGAGACTCGCGTTGTGAAATGTGCATCAAACACAAAGTTAAAGACGACGACGACGATGATGCTGTTGTCAGTTAGTAATTTCGCCCTCCGTATGTACGCTGAACTTCTTTCGCGCCGTACGTAGCCAAACGTGCTCATGGGAGGTGCGGGGGAAGGACAACTTCAGTGCAGGGGACTCTTTCGTTCGCTTCCTTCCATTCCTTCCTACCCTGAGTCGCTCCTGTCCAGTCCTGACCTCCGACCTCTGTGGAGTCGACCCACTGCCGTCTCTTCAGCCGTCTTCCTCTGCTGGTGTTCGCCTTTCTCTGAGTCTCCACTCACGAGTTCACTTTGGCCCCACTAGTTAACTTTGTGGATGTCCCTGGTGATGAACGCGTCGAGGCACTGCGCGCTGTGTGTGTGCATTGGCCTTGGGGAGCGGTGGCGCAGTGGTTAGCGCTGCACTGCGCTACGAACCCCGGCAAAGACCCGAGTTCGATTCCCGCTCACGGCCACCGCCAACAACTGAGACAGCCGCTCCTGGTCCTGGGCCTCCAATAGGGTCGACTCAGCCTCAAACGAGTGTACCTGGCGCCGTGTGTGTCGCAAAACACACCGCCACTCGGGAGAGACAAAAGCGGCCGGGCACGGCACCGGCCTCCCAACCCCCCCCCCCCAAACGCGTCCCATCACGGCCTCGCCAACAGCCCCCCCCCCCCCCCCCAGCGAGGCTAACACACGACGTGACCCCTTCTCGTGTCTGTGTGTCCCGGGCGCGTGCAGGTGCAACATGCCAGCAAGCAGATCTCCGTGGAGCAGCAGTACAAGGGCATCATGGACTGCGTGGTGCGCATCCCCAAGGAGCAGGGCTTCATATCGTTCTGGCGCGGCAACCTGGCCAACGTGATCCGCTACTTCCCGACACAGGCGCTCAACTTCGCCTTCAAGGACAAGTACAAGCAGATCTTCCTGGGCGGCGTCGACAAGCACAAGCAGTTCTGGCGCTACTTCGCCGGCAACCTGGCGTCGGGCGGCGCCGCGGGTGCCACGTCGCTGTGCTTCGTGTACCCCCTCGACTTCGCCAGGACGCGTCTGGCCGCCGACGTGGGCAAGGGCAACGCGGAGCGCGAGTTCAAGGGTCTGGCCGACTGCCTCACCAGGATCTTCAAGTCGGACGGCGTGCGGGGACTCTACCAGGGCTTCAACGTGTCCGTGCAGGGCATTATCATCTACCGTGCCGCCTACTTTGGCATCTATGACACGGCTAAAGGTGTGCGCGTGATGCCATGCGTAGCAGGGTTTTTTCTTTTTTCCTGTGGGGGGGGGGGGGGGGTGTAGCGGTTAGCACGCCGCGCTACGAACCCGGATGATCTGAACAAACGGTCCTGGTCATGGGCCTCCCCTAGATCGACTCAGCCTCAAAGTAATACCTGGTGCGGTGTGCAGTAAACATCGCCACTAGGGAGACAAATGCGGCCGGGCGTGATGCTGGCCACCCACTCCCTCGTGTGCCGTGCCAGCCATCATAGGTGCTCGCTAACAGCACTTGCCCCAACAGTCTGTTCGGGCTATACGGGGGATCTTTGTCTCTGTGGTGTGTAGCAGGGTGTTTGCCGTTTTTAAAAAATGCACTTCCGAGCTCTCGCTTCGTGGATACTCAGAATAAGTAATTATTTATTCATTCTGGTGAAATCCGAAAAGCCACAAAGCTCTTTCTCACACATGTCCAGTAGGGGCGGGTCAGAACGTTACCACGACAGGCAATACAAAGCACACGATAGGAGCATAAAGCATAGCAAAGGTAAGTAAATTACTAAAATATAAATAAAACTAAACCATTGTGCTGTACACCCATAGATACACCGATTATCAGCATCCGATTGATGTAGCCGTAGGAAATGCAACAGACTGCAGCGGTCGCTGTTCTACTGAAGTGTGCCTCGTTGCAATGTGGTGGCCCATTACAAAGATAAATGACTAATTCTGACATCGTATGACACTGTATAAAAAAGCACTCCCCAACTCAGACTATTTATGAATGCGTTCCTGAAAACAGTGAATGATCCACTCCTGGCAATTCCATGAGATTCCATTACAGAGATGTTTTTTTTTGCATTGAGGCGAACTTACACATGAAGCGGTTGCAGGAGGTGACTTAACCGCATTCAACACGACCACATACAAATAAAAAATCGATGTGTACTTACATCGTGAGCGTAAGGATTGATATCAATCGATTCATCAATGCGTCCTTGCACCCTTGAGCAGAGGAACAAACAGACGCGAAGGCACGTGTACATTCCTCAATGACACTCACACCTTGCACAAGATAGCCATGAGATCCATGGTGATGAACAGCGGCTCTCTCAAAGGTCTCGCCGTAATTAGGAAGTGAGGCAAACCTTCTGACACACTCCACCTCCCCTCGGCACTGAAACGTTGACTCACACACACACAAACATAGCACGGACACGTAGCACCGTTTGTGTTTGGTTGGAAGAGATTCGCACGGTTGGCTACGTACTTTGCGAATTAAGTTTAACGTATGTACATACAATACAAGTCGCTACTAAGCAACACACATCCAGGGGGGGTAAGAGTTGTTTAATCATAGGCAATACTATTGGACCTAAAGAAGACGCATCCTTCACACAGGTAGCATCAATATTTAAGTACGTATTTAGTTATATATGAACACACACACACACATGGGTATGTAAGTATAACACAGCTAAATATATTTTGATTGAGAAACGTCTTGTTTTATATTTGTATTATTTGATTGTTTCCCTTCTACGTGACTTTACCGAACGAACCAAGAATATAGCTAAATATATATTAACACCACTTTCACAAACGCTGCTGATAAGTGTGGGTTCGTGAAGTGGGTTCATTACGCGGCACGCTAACCACTCCACCACCTCTCCATCCTGAATATAAATGCAAAAGATATAAGGGACTGATAAATATGGATCTAGGCATACACCAGTAAACACGAGTCCAGCTATAACAATGTCCATTATAGTTTAAGAGGATATGACTTGCATACATATTCACGTAGTAGCACAGACGAAAATACACATCCAATTACAGACAAGCCTCAAACAAGGCGGCTGAGGATAGGTTTTTGTTGGAGGGCAGTTCTCTACAAGCTTGACTTCAGGATCTGCACGATCTCCTGACTTGAAAATCATCCCTCCATCGCCACTGGCACACGCTGTCTCAGACGACACAACGGCTCGTGCGTAGTTATATTTGACTGACAGCTGAAAAAGTCGACTCAACTTTCCTTTCACAAAAACAAAAGCCTTAATTGGGCCTCAATACCAAGTGACATTTATCATACCATATGTTAGCCGGCTGTGGGTCGCTGTGGTTAGAATGTTCGGCTCACAGCGAGTTCAATTCCCAGGCAGGGATTGACTTGGAGTCATCCTTCCCAGACTGAGAGTCGTCCCTTTGAGTCATTGGCTCCCTCCATGGGGGATGAAAGATATCCGCCATTGGCGCAGGGCCTGCAAACAGAAATGAATGCCACGCTATTGCTCGCTTTAGCTGGGAGATAAGCCGACTTTACCTTTTTGATATCGTTAAAGACCCCACTTATTTAGCTTAGATGAGTACAACTACTATTATTCTTCTTTATACTTTTCATCCAATAGAGCCTCACTGAGTATCATGAATCTTTTTCACGAGGATCCTTGTAAAAAAACATTCTCAGTAGGGGGATGATGATGATTTGCTATGAAAATTACAATTGAGTAATGAAGTTTCCATGTCGTACTGTGATATCTTAATTGAGCGACTTCGGGACATTTTGACAGATCCAACTTTCCCATAAATATGCTAAATTCCTCTTGATATGCAAATTATTTTGTCAAGGCGCTCTTCCCCCTCCAACCCAGCTTAAATATACGCTCCAAGCCTGGGGTGTTTCATTCAGACTCTGTCTTCCCGACAGACCTGTTCTTCACCTGAGGACGGCTGCTTGCGTTGTGGCCGAAACGTCGTGAGAATTATTTTATTATGTTATATTTTTATTATTTTATTATTTCCATTCTACGTGACTTTACCGAAAGAATCAAGAAGAAAAAATTAACCCGTAAAAACAAAGTTTTTCACTATAAATCCTTTATATGCATGGCGGCTAGAGTCCTCTCGTCCTCTGGCTTGAGATGGCTGCCACCTATGGGTCAGATGATTGCCTGCCACCATTAAGCAATTGGTAATTAAATATAAAAAAAAATTCCTAAAAAGTGTAAAATTTTGGAGAAATTTTTTTTTCACGAAAATAGTCACGCACAAACGAGTCTGTGTGCAAAATGTCAGCTCGATTGGATCACGGGAAGTGGGTTAAAAAAACGACCGAAAGATTTGCACGGTCGTAAGGGCGCAAGCAAGCAAGCAAGTGAACTTAATATAAAGGATTTAAATATTTATTCCACTTTGCCTATGGGCCCTGCCATTAACGAGCGCGACTGTCCTCCTTGTGTGTGGCTGTCCACAACAGGCATGATGCCGAACCCGAAGAGCACGCCCCTCGTCGTGAGCTGGATGATCGCTCAGACTGTGACGGCCGTGTCTGGTTTCGTGTCCTACCCATTCGACACCGTGCGTAGGAGGATGATGATGCAGTCTGGGCGCAAAGGAGGTAAGCTGATGGCATCTGGTATTTGTGCACTTGCATGGGGAGCGGTTGCGTAGCGGTGAGCGCGCTGCACTACGAACGCAGTGACTCGAGTTCGATTCCCGCTCAAGGCCAACGCCAGTGACGATTATCTGAACCGGTACTGTGCCTCCCCTAAGCCAACCCAGTCTAAAATGAGTACCCGGTGCGGTGTGTAAACATCAGCACTAGGGAGACAAAGGTGGCAGGGCGTGGTGCTGGCCAACCACCCCCTCGTTTGCCGTGCCGGCCTTCATAGGTGCTCGCTAACAGCACTTGCGCACGTGTTTTACTGCCATGCTCACACACACGTCTCCCACCTCCCTGCCTCCGTCTGCCCCAGCCGACATCATGTACCGGGGCACCATTGACTGCTGGAAGAAGATTTTGCAGCAGGAGGGCGGCAAGGCTTTCTTCAAGGGCGCCTGGTCCAACGTGATCCGTGGCGCGGGAGGCGCCTTCGTGCTCGTGCTGTACGACGAGATCAAGAATGTGCTGTAAGCGGCCTCCACTCGCCAGCCAGCCATCCTAGCAGCACGCCAACAGGCGCGCCACCTCACCAGGTCCAGCGGAAATCTGAGGAAGCCACGAATGTCCTTGCCAGCAGAGGCTCTGCTCATTTTTTGGGGGGGGGGGGCACTTCGATGCAATTTCTATTTTTGGTGAAATGTTACCGACCATTAAATTGAAGCTCACGTAAAAAAAAAAGTTTACAGTTGATCAATCACGGTTTCTTTTTGTCATCTGGATAATTCCGTGCGTCAAAAATGTGCCTTTTTCTTTTGGGGGAACGGCGTTGAGGTTTCTGCAGATTTCTGCCGTGTATTATTTGTCATGCATGACTTGGTCCGGAGGTCTTTTCAACAATGCAACGAAGAGCAAACCCGCGCGTTCAGACTAATACTGTTTTGCGACGAGAGCCTTTCTTGAGGGTTTAAAGGTCACGTTGAGTGGTTGTGCCAGCCATTGTATTGTGATGTCAACAGTACTGGCTCTAAATGTTGTTTTAGCATTTACGTTATGGTTCACATGATAGTGATCGGAGTTTGGGACTTAAAAAGATAAAGTGAAAATTATGTTTAGGAACAATGTTTAAAGTATGACTTCAACAACTCCAGATTTAATGGGCTGGATAAAGTCCATGTTTCCATGGCTACCAATTTCCATTCTCTTTAAAACTGCAGATTGAACACTGCACGCATATGTTGATTGGTTGACGTGTAAATATGAACTGTGACCCAAAACTCCTGAAGTTGGTTAACCCTGTCTCAAATAAACATGTTACGATTATGCAGTCAGTCTGAAACAATACGAGAGAATGCGGATTAAACTTCCTATTATAACCGTGGTGATGTGGAGTCCTCAGTCTGATTGTTGTATCTGAGTGGTACCTCCGATTAGCACGGCTGGCGACGCACAGTGTAAAAGAAAATTCAACATACGTACGGCAAAGGGATCGGAGGGCAATTCACCTCCGTCCTGACTACCCAAACTGCGTGGCCTCCGTTGCTTCGCACTGGCACAGATAATAAATGTGACCTCTCTGCCCCACAAATGACAAATACACACGCTTGGCATATTTTATTTTGTGCATTCAAAAGGAGTTGAAAAGGCTTTCCTGCCCAAAGCCGTTGCCACATGTGGTACTGTAATTATATTTGAGTGGAATCATTGTGGCTCATTGTTCACAACGAAGTGTTCATTTACGGCATGTGCAGGTGTCCGGGATGAAAACTCACATGCGCAGAGCAGTTATACTCTATATTCTTTGTTTTTTCGGTAAAGTCACGTAGGTAAAACATAAAATAAATGAAAACAACTAAATTAAATCACGACGTTTCGGGCGCAACACAAGCGTCCGTCATCAGGTGAGAAAGCATGGCCTGCTGCTGATGCAGACTATTTTAAAACAGTCTTCATTTATTTGATTTTTTACCAACGTGACTTTACCGAAAAAACCCAAGAGTATGAATCGTTGCAGTCACGAAAGCTTCAAATCTATAGTTATACTCTAGCTGCATCATTTGTCTGCATTGTTACATCTCGGATAATGGTGCAGCTTCCACAACTATATCGCCGGCTCCAGAGCAATGATCAACTGCAGAAGTCTGCGACAATCAAGGACGCGGAAAATACCTGTTTGGAGATGGTGCACCTCCCTGCTGATTTCACGGCGGAACCCACAGTGAGAGAACGGATCCTGAACACATCCCCCAGACAGAAGCAGACTGCTACTTCTCAATCGGTGTGAATACCCCTGCATTATGTCATTAGGGTCGTTAGAGATGACTTAACGGTGTTGCAGGGGCAACGGAAACCAGTGACCATTAACTGCTTTTTAAAGTGCCATCCATCACAAAGAGACCAACAGACATAAGTAGAGCGAGAGGGTGTGTGCCAGTGAATGCATGTTACCAGCCAAACATTTCATTCCTAATGAGTGGAGGTGGATGATTGTAGTGTCCTTTATGAATTCAGCCTTTGGCTGATGGCTATAATGAACCATGGTTTGATTCACCCGATGTGCCACAAGGACCCAAGAAAGGATGATTGTTGTTGCATGGTTTCTTTGTCTCTTGCGAGGGACGCCGCTGGCATTTGTTGCCTCTCGTACCAATTCTAAGCCCAAAGGGGCGCCTTGGTGTGTGGAAGCCTCATTCAAGTGGTGACGACCATTTGATTATGAAACCGAGATTTATTGCTCGTGTAAAACGATCTCTGTTTTTGAATGTAAAATTGCTGGCTGTTGCAGTTTTGATGGCCAAGTTACGTGGAGGTGTGTGTCTGAGCACTGGTCCGTAAATCAGCGAGTCGTGCGATAGAATGTAGTTGTAGCACGTTTCAAGGAGGTGCAGCGATTAAACTAAATACAGGAAGGTGAAAAATAACAGAGGACAACAACGATACCTCTTTAAACCCCTATCTCTTTTGGATTCGTGCCCTTTTGTTCATTTACGGAAATGCCGTGATAAGTCCGAACAATTTGTGTCATATATTTGTGCTAAAAAATGTTTAAATGTGCATAGCCGCACACTCTAGGATGCATGCACATGCGCATTGTGTGTGTGGGTGCGCTTGGGAAGATCGCTCATGGCCAACACCAGTGACGATTATCTGAACTGGTCCTGGGCCTCCCCTAGGTCGACTCAGCCTCAAATGAGTACCCGGTGCGGTGTGTAGTAAACATCGCCACTGGGGAGACAAAGGCGGCCGGGCGTGGTGTTGGCCACCCACCCCCTCGTGTGCCGTGCCGGCCTTTATAGGTGCTCGCTATCAGCACTTGCCCCTACAGTCTGTTAAGGCTACACGGGGGGGATCTTTGTCTTTGCTTGGGAAGATGCCATAGGCAGTGGTAACGATCTAAATCCTATTCCTTCATGGGAATGGCAGTTTTGTAAAGAATGGATCATGTTTATTAAAGAGGGAGACAGTGTAAGAATTCAGTTTCTAATCAAGCTCGGTAAAACAACCACGTAACCACTCAATTACACTCAATGAAAGATAATGATACATTTTAAAAATAAACCTTTAAATTGGTTATATTGATGCCCCTGAGTTAGTGATTGAAATTGCAATTACCTATGACAAGGAGCAGATGTCACTTTATAGGGTGATCCAGATGTCGCGTGACCCCCATCTAATTCTCTAAAACGTAATACTTTTTAAAAGTTACGTTTATTTAAAACATAAATTTATATGCAAGGGAAGGGGGGGGCGAATCAGGGTCAATTAATTGGGTCACAAGAAATCTGGAACACCATGTACAGCACTCGCCGTATCGGTAATAATGATGATGTTGTTTCTTCTAGATTTGAAGTTTTCGTGACAGAAAGGGTCCATACTCTTTGGTTTTTTCGGTAAAGTCACGTAGGTAAAAAAGAAAATACAAATAAATTAAATCACGACGTTTCGGAGGCAACACAAGCTTCCATCTTCAGGTGGAACCGTCACAGCAAAATTACTGTATAATTTTGTCGTGATGTAATTTATTTGTATTTTCTTTTTTACCTACGTGACTTTACCGAATAATGTTGTTGGCTGACGGCTCTGGTTCCACTCTGCTCACTTTATGCGCGAGATGTGCAGTTTTTTTCTTCTTCTAACACAAAAAACACACCCGGGCTGTCTTGTATTTAAAGAAATAACGTTTTGAATGTATTTTGTCACGTAGCACTTCCGCAAGTGTCCAAACTTTGAAATAAAGCCGAATCCACATCTTAAATATTTTTGACGATTTCTTCTTGATTCAAAATTAATCAACAACGTTTCACGTCGCTTGCATAAAATATCTTAGTCAAAATGATGGCCCATAAATTTCAGACTTGCATATAGGATCTGTTCATGTCTTTGGATTGTTTTTTTTAACAGTTTGTTATTATTATCATCATACACTGGATTGCCACTGATTATAATTTTACATTTCCTTTATCGCCAAGGGCCCAGCGTGTCACACGTAAACACGTTCCAGAAATAAGTAAATAAATAAATTAACTCATATGGTGGCTTTAAAATATAAGACTTCATAATCCCTGTACCCCTGCCGCGGAAGAATGACCTGTGTTTCCATCTGTCATCAAATCACTTCTGTCACAACTAGTAACATGTACGGCACATGTATATTTTGTTATGAATATGTATACTCCAATGCTGACATGAAGCCAACACAGTAATAATAACAATACATAGCAATTTGTCATTTCACTGCTGGATAACGGCCAAGTCACATATATATAGAAAAACACATGTATACAGCATTGTACTCGACAGTACAGCTTCCGAACAGGACTCGTGCCGCTTGCTCCTGTGCAACGCGACCTCTCGGGTAGAGGAAGATGCCTGCCGGGAGAGGAACTTTGACCGCAGCAAAGGAGACAGGGGCCACCCCAGTGGCCCATGCTCGACGGCGGTGTTCTTCATTGCAAGGCCCGCGATGCCACCGGCTGCCCCTGGTGGCCCATTACGTGCCGGGGCCCCCGACAATACTGACTAACCTCTATGGGGAGGATACTTCTCTTCAAACCAGAAAACTGGAGAAACTCCGAATTAAGCGGATGAAGCACCGGCGTTCCGCAGTTTGTAAATGTTGTGGCTTGGCTCTCCAACACACAACCGGTGTGCTGTACTAGTGACGAATTGGCCACGTTCTGTTGACGTGACAACCCTTACTAGTTGGCTGTGTCGGGTGGTGGCGGGTTTTAACGACACATTTATATATTTACGCGATCTAACCCAAAAACCTCTATTATAGAATACACAAATTTAAAGAGGAAAAAAACCATCGTGCTGTCAAATGTGTGGTGGCCCCTCACCCTGACGATGTCTTATCGGCGACAGTGGCCTGCCGTCAGAAAGAATGCGAAGAACACTGCTCTACGGCGAGGGCCTGGGGAATAGCCACTCGAAAGAAGTTGCTGGCGTGCCGGGAGGGAATGGCGGTCTTGCCACGGTGGATATCGGCCACGTTCCAGAGAGTATCCATTAGGGAAGTCCCCTGCCCCCCCCCCCGCATTGATACTAAATCTGTGCAACGACTGACTCGGTACTGATGCCGCCGCTGTTCACGCGCGACTTTGTAATTAACGGTCCCGTAATCGACACGATCAGAAATCAATCTTGACTTAATGCTTTCGTGACTGCAGGAATTCATATTCTTGGCTCTTTGGGTAAAGTCACGTAGATAGGTTTTCTGTTATTTTTTTTTTAAAAAATCTTTGAACCTATCTCCGTGACTTTATCGAAAGACCCAAGAATACGACCAGGAATTTACATCAACGGTGTTGGAAGGGAGATGAACGCGGAAATCCAAGAAAAAATGCCACGAGTTTTTGTTCAGCATGTCGTGGGTCGGTGTCTCGGCAACGTCGAAAGAAAGTGCGGGGCATGGTGTCGGAGTATCCCACAACACCGATAGGTGACTGCTGCAACCATTCTCTCCCCGCACACTCGGTAACGACGCGAATCCGACCTACACAAGCCACAAGCAGCAGCACCCTAGCACAGTGCAAGACGGAAAGACGAGCTATTCCGAGAAGGGGAGACGAGCATATGTCGTTCCCTACTGTAAGCCGATGCCAGCGGGGTATATTTGTAACGTGCTTGTGGCAGCATTTGCTAAATGCTAACCAACCACGTGGTGCGTTTGCAACCGTATCTCCGTCGCGTTGACATCATTATTATAAAATCTAAACGGTAACCATTCGTGTGCCATAACGACCACGAGTGAATCGTTCTTGGTTTGGCATTTCAGGAAAAGGCTAAGCGTGGTTTTTGCCGAACTGTTTTCGTCAGCTGGAGGGGCCTTTTAATAGAAACAAGAATGGCGAATGTTCCTCAAAATGTCCTCTATCT